TTTGCAATAGTCCTGATTTTTAATAAGTTATGCCTTCAAATATATGAAGTGAAAAGTGACGAGTGACACTTTTCATCAACAATGTCTGAGTTTAAAAATAGTTGAAAAGCTAAACTATTTCAAATGTTAAATAATCCATCCATCTGTTTTCTAATCTGCTCATCCTCACGAGAGTCGCGGGCGTGCTGGAGTCTATCCCAGCTGTCTACGGGCAGTAGGCAGGGTAACCCCTGAACTGGTTACCAGCCAATCACAGTGCACAAAAAATGTTATTAATATAATTATATATTTATTTCTATTCAAAGTCTTTAGTCGACAATATTAGTAGGCAAATTTTTAGATTTCTGATCATTGTAACAGATTTAAAAAGCAACTGACATTTTGTCAAAAATGAACAAAAATACAGGAGATGTGGGGGGGGGGGGGGCTCTTTCTTCCCGTCCATGCCTCATAGCTCTGTGCCGATTTAAACGCTACGGTAATTAGAATAATAATAAGAAGAAGGAGGATGCATTCACTGAAATGATTTCTACAATGATTCATGTTTCAACATTGCCATCTACAAGATTTGCAATTAAAGTGTTAACTAAGTCTATTAGCAGAAGAATGTCCTGTAAAATCTTTTGTTGTTGTAAAAGAATTGATATTTCTGATCAGATATTACATTGATTTCATGCAATGTGCGTTGGCAAGAGTATGTTGTTGGGAAACCAAGCACAGAACACCTGTTAGGGCCATTCTTTGGGTAGTGAACAGACTCAATCAGCTGCTACTTTTGTCTTGGATTTAGAAGCACATAAATAGCCACCAGTCAGACTCAGGTGACTGTTTACATAATGGGATTTGAGACCCATCGTTACCTTCAGGCCTTTTGTAACTCACCTTCGTGTGTAAGTCTGAGATGGTGTGTGAGTTGGTGAGAGTGTGTTTGTCTGACAGCAAGGTAGCGACATGCTCGTTTGCTAATGTGCAGTATATCTTGTATCATGTGTCAGGGTGTGATGTCACAATTTGCCAATCCTTGTGCTTGTATTTATATCTGTGGGTGTTCTGTTCTGGGTTGAAACCTCTGATGGTTTTGTCTACTGAGCACCTTGATCTGGCATTTCCTCATGTCACATTGACACAAGATCCGAGATATTTTTTTAAAATAGCGGCTTAGTTTAGGATACTTGGTCCACTATTTCCCCATTAAACCTTGTAATGGCATCAGCATAAGTGCCTTAAGTGCCTGACTCCAGTGCACAAAGTACAGTGCTGCATTTCGACAGGAAATTTTGTCTGGGGAAAAAAAAACATCAAATGGTTGAAGGTAACCTCAGATCGGGGCTTAGTGCCATGATCATTTTTTTTTTTTTGCTTTCCTTTGTCACATGCTTTCAATGAAAAAAGATGCTGTCAATCATGGTGATAACAGCGAAGTGGACTTTGAGTGCATGTGTACAGATCCTTTTTTGAGAAGTGTTTCATAATGCATCAAAGCTTCCTGAAATATTTCGAGTGATGAATTAGATTTGTTCATTTAGTTTTATTGACAGTCACTAAAAATGGAAAGCAAAGCTTATCATTATTTGCAAGTAGTTTACCTGTTTGAGTTTGTTTATTTTTATGCCACTTTTCTGCATTTATTGACATATCAACTTGAATGGATTTTTGTTGCAAAAGGCATTTCTGTAATGGTGTTATCATATAATTAGCTTTTGAAGGCAATTGTTACAAAATGAAAAGAATGCTTGAAAGAAAGTTTGCTAGATGTTGTCACGGTAGTGTAAAGCCTGTTGGATCCAGGATGTTTATGAAAGTTTACCTCCTCTCAACTATTAACATTCTGGATGTTGTCACGAAAAGATTTCACAGTTGGCATATTCCTGATTGTGTAAAAACTGAAGAACAAATTTGCCCAATCCACGCTTAACCAGAACAAACCTGTGGCAAGATCAATGTATGAATAAACATTGTTTTTGAAATCATAGCGATCCATTTTACGTAGATAGCAACAATACCTGCTAATCGTTCCTGTCTATGCTTCAACGTGACTGCTGCTGTTTATTTTTGCTGTCATACCTGGCACATTAGTTGGTAATTGGATTCAGGGAATCTTCTTAGTCACTCTAGTGGAGAAGTGAGCTGGGAACCAAATGCCTGTAGCCTTGACTGAGCCCCGGCGGAAAGATAAAGGTACCTTTATAGAGATTTGCTTGAGGAGACTGTGGCTGAGGCGTTGTCCCGTTGAACCCCGGGAGACTTAATGGAGAATGGAAGTACAGGTTTTGCGAGAAAACATGCCCCCACACTGTTGTAGGTTGACAGTAAGTAATTGCTCACAAACTGAAATAATACAGGTTCAAAATGTGGGTGTCAAGACTCATCCTTGACATCATACTTTTAATAATTCAAAGTATATCAATAGCATCACTTGGCCTGCATGCTAAACAGCGTGTTGGTGAGTGGCTTGCACATTTGCATCACAGTTCAGAGGGTCAGGGTTTGAGTCTCAGCTCTGACCATGCTGTATGGAGTTTGTATGTTCCCCGTACTGGTATGGCTTTTCTCCCACGGTCCAGAAAATATGCACGTTGAGTTGAAAGAAGACTTCCAATTGTCGCCAAGTATGAATGTGAGTGTCAAGAATTATTTAAAAAATATATTTTCCCTGCGATTTGTCCATGGTGTACCTGGCTTTTTGCCCAAAGTAAACATCCCTTTGCCCCAGCGTATGCGACACCCTAATAATGCAATGCATTGTTGAAAATTGGTGGATGGATGGATGTTCTGCATACTTCAATCTACTTTGCTTCCATTCATCCAACTTGCTCAACAGCACTGCACAACTTGATCACATCCTGTCTTGACCGCTGCAATTCCCATCCTTTTCGTTTCCCCCAAAAGTCCATCCATTAACGTGGGCATGCTGGGGCCTATCCCAGCTGCCATCGGGCAGTAGGCGGGGTACACCCTGAACTGGAGGTCAGCCAATCGCAGGGCACACTTAGACGAACGATTCACGCTCACAATCACACCCAAGGACAATTTAGAGCATTCAATCAACCTCCTAAAGAGGACACAATATGTAAAATTGACTTTTTAATTGATTGTATACAAATAGTTTGGAAGGCCCCATTCATCATGTGTGACAATATACAACTTAACAAATATCGAACCAACACTAAGTTTCTACGCCAATGATTTGACAGATTGTCTGGGCGAACATAGAGCAATGGCCAGAGTCTGGTCAGTGAATCAGCTCAAACTTTGGTATGATTAAGTAAATTCAGTTTGAAAGTGACCATTCCTCTTCATGATAGTAAATGTTGAGAGCTCATTGAAATTGAAAGAGTCCACATTAAAGCATTTTGTGATATTGTCTTCGCATTTTAGAATCGTAAAGTCAATCTCTCGACTCGAATCCTATAGCTCAGGCCCTTTTACCTGCTAGAGAAGAAATTGAAGGTTGCAACCCACACCCTTGCCCTAAACAAACAAACAAACAAACAAACAAACAAACAAACAAACAACAAACAAACAAACAAACCCAACAACTGAAAGAAGCATTGGTGAAAGTCTGGAAATGCATCACAAAATAATGTTGCCTCACCTATATTCTCTTGATTGTTTATCATCATAAGCATTATATTTTAGCTGGGACCTATCCCAGCTAACTTCGGGACAAGAGATACACCCTAGACCAGGGGTGGGCAATTAATTTTGCAAAGGGCCCACATGAGAAATTAGAACACTTGCCAAGGGCTAAGCCAACATGCTAACCTCAACTTTGTATTTTTTATCATGCGCCTTATTTCGGAAAAAGTGTATTTTCTTGAGTTAGTAAATTGTTACGTGGGTGGATATGGTTTGTGTTGTTATAATTAGGAAACACAAATTTTAAACAAAATTATAAGCGGTCATTAAAATGACATCTTTACACTTTAAAAATTATAACATTAATTTTATGCAGTAACCACCAACTCATATTTGCCATTCCTAGTAGTCAAGGCTTCTAAATACAGTATATACTGTAGATAAGTAGGAAGTGGTAATATCATTTACAGTGATGTATAATGACACAGTGATGACTTATACTACAGCCAATACGTGCAGTATTTGCAACTGTAGCTTTGTATACAGTGGGCCAAATCTTCTTGGTCCTCTTTCCTTGACCGTGCATGAAACAAGAACATTACTGTACTTACATTGGGACCACTGTGATTTCTTCCAGTTTCTTCTTTTGGAACAAATAGTTGCTGGATATGTCAGAAAGGTTGCTTAAAATGGCAAAGAGGTAGCCAAGTTCGCAGCACTACTGACACAAGTCCTAGCTCTTGCTTGCTACCTTGCCTGTACTAGCATCTGTGCATGTGTACTGAAAATAAAAGCACAACTTTCTAAATAAAAACAGTGGTGCTTTTCATGTTTTACCCTTGACTTTGACTTCATGGTCACTGTGAGGGTCGATCAGAGGGCAGGCCAGATGCGGCCCCCGGGCTGCACTTTGCCCAAGTCTGCCCTAGACTGATCCACAGCCAATCATATTTATCTTATTCACTTAAGTTCCAGTAGTTTTGCTCACCTAAATATGTGGTGTTCCTTCCAATTAATGCTTTAAATTGTCTACCTGATCCAGATGTACTGTATATACTTGGAATAAAAGCTGAAATGTTGTCTCTTATCTTCTGTTTGTCTTTTGATGACAAACCAGATGCTTTCAGGGTACAAATGAAGAAACTGACCTCGGTGTTCCAATACTTTTGGCGATGACTGTATGTCATGATCAGATGTGCGCCCTGACTGACTGGATGCATGTCTGTGCTCCAGATTCAGTTGGCTGCTTGTCTACCCTGTATACACACACACACACACACACACACACACACACACACACACACACACACACACACACACACACACACACACACATACACATACACACACACAACACACTTACATGACAGCTGTCACTTTCAGTAGCCACAGTGCCATCACCTATCTACCCTTTCCTCCAGGCCCTGACTGGTACTTGAACAAGGTGAAGCTGACGATCACTGATGTCAACGACAACGTCCCTGAGTGGAACATGAAGCCTTACCCATACCAGGCTGGAATGTCCCCTGATGCCACGGCAGGGACCTTTGTCTATCAGCTCCGGGCCCTCGATGGGGATGAGGGGAGAAGCGGGGAGGTGGAATATTTTTTGGCTGATGGTAAGATTTTCGCTTCTCACATTCACACATTTAAACTAATGTGGAAAAAAAGTAGGCTGAGTTGTGTGCATGACGCACAATGGAATCATGGGAATAAATCCATGTAGACAGGCCATGGTACAGTTACTCAGACAGACAGCCACAGGCATTCACAGATTCATTCATGCATTTTGCACTATTAGTTTTCTTTTTTTTTTTTTTTTGTCTGCATCACATCTTTCTTGCTCTCAGTATCTCTTTGCTAGGCATGTACGTACGTTGACAGCCAGAGGCCTTCACACTTTTGGCCGTTCATTTTTCGTACACTCCTGCATATCTACCTACTTTGCTCTGTTCTAACACACAGACAATCATGAAAAGGCACACGAATAAGTATGGGGATGTGTTTGAGGGGATAGAAGTTTGTTGGCATGTCAGAGACGGGAGATGTGCTAATCTTCCCAATGAGATTTTACAAAACACCACTGACTTCTCTCTGACTCACATTAGTCCATCGCAATTCTCCCTGATGCAAGCTAAAGGGTAATTGCCAAGACACAGCCGGAGTCCATGCTTGCCCAATATTACTGGGCCACTAACAACTTGCTTCATAGTTCTGAGCAAGTGTGGCATGATTATTTTATTTGAATTGATGTCAATTTCATGTTAAAATAATGTATTCTACCTTTGTATTCTGGGGTTCTGAGTATGGAGTACCCCACCCCTGATAAGGGCTGTTCAGTCGATGTCTAATGTCAGCATTTGGTCCTCAAAGTAGGTAGGTCTTCATCAAGCTGCAATCCTCAACTTTCACTTAAGTATTTCACAGCCGAGCACGTATTGTTTGGAATAAGAATCAGCATTTCCAAATCTGAGAGCATTGTCCTCAGTCGGAAAAAGGCAGGGCGCCCTCTACAGGTTGGAAGTCAGATCCTTCCCCAAGTAAAACAGTTCAAGTATCTTTTGGTCATGTCCAGGCCGGTGTAGTGTCCGCAGTTATGTAAACTCTGAATTCGGTCTGAAGTGGTGTTGAAGGAGTCGAGCCGAAAGGTGACGCTTTCAATTTACCAGTCTGTCTTTGTTGCCATCTTCACTCATGTGGTGTGGACCATGACCAAAAGAACAAGATCATGGATACATCATCAGTGTCCAGGCTCTCGCTTAAAGACAGGGTGAGAGGCTGAGTATCCGGGAGGAGCTCAGAGTTGAGCCGCTGCCCCTCCACAGGAAATGAAGCCAGATGAGGTGGCCGAGGCATCTGGTGAGGATGCCTACTGGATGCCTTACTGATGAGGTGTTACGGCACATCCCACTGTGTCTCCCCACGTGACCGATCACAGACGTGAAAGTAGATGGGTGGAAGAAGGTTGGATTCTGCGCTTCAATGCAAAACCATTAAAAGGATTAGATTTTTCAAGGCACGTATGCCCTTAAAGATTGATCAGTGGCGTAAAATTTGGTTGTTTGCTAACCTTAGCTGAGGAAGTAAGGAAGTAATATCTTCATTTTGTGATTGATACCATTGTTTAATCAGCCAGAGGATGACCCCTTAGTTCGCCCTAAATCTGAATCCTTTATCTTCTAAAATTCTATGCTTCATAATATTTGCGAGAAGGTTTTCAACTCACTTGTAACCGTGACTGTGCGCAAAGCGAGCCAGAATGGAAAGCTGTTGTTCGATGCACATTTTTTGTCGATCTGCACTCTCTTTTAGAGTAATGGGGCAGGTGTCTCCCTTCTATTGTGCACAAAAACTGTCCATTTAGCAATTTGCAATGATTAATCCCACCTTTGTTACAGTTAGAACAACTATGCTGTTATTGTTTTTCCCGAATATGCAATAGGTAATTGCAACCGATTACCATTGTCAAGCTTTCACACCGAAAAACGGTTTATTGCCAGTTTTCTTGTTGGGCTTTGGTTGCAACGGCTGTGTTTATTTTTACCTGTGCGCTGGAAGAATTCTCTTCATTTTAGTTATTGTTTTGGGGCTTCAACAACCCTTCAGATGTGTGCTGATTTTAGCTAACTACACTAACAATGAGAAAAAGAACCCCAATGATTATGATGTAAGACATAAATACAGCACAAATGAATCAATCAGTAAATAAAGTCCTGGACTCACTGACCTCCAAGCACACCCACACGCACGCACGCACGCATGCATGCACGCACGCATGCACGCACGCACGCACATGCATTTTTGAAAATATAGCAAGCGAAAAATATGGATTAAAAATGATCTGTGTAGATTTGAAGAATCTCAATGAAATAAATTAAAACCATGTCCTTTTGGGAATGTTTGGATTATTTAGTCATTTGA